TCAAAAAATAGAAAAGCTACGAGAAATGAACAATGAGTATGTGTATCTTACTGCATTGCGAAGATCAATGCTGAGCTACTGAATCAGGAGGGTGAAGTTGCGAGACACCTTTTGAAGCATGTTGTGACAGAACTGCTAGTGACACTCCGGCGGAACCTGCTTCTCCAGGTGCTTCACCTCCATCTTCAGCCTTAGCAAAGTATAAAAGTCATTAGGATGCCTCAAAATCTCCCCCAAACTCTCCATTCTTCACACCCTAGCTCTGCTTTGAAAATGGCTGCACAAAAATGACCAAGCAGGTGCATATCTAACTCGGTGATCTGGCATTAATCCTATGATAACGCAATTTGAGTTGTTAAGTTCTTAATTTTTACTTGCAAAGAAAACCTCTATTCTTGTTGGAGAGCGCTATCTCTATATCACTAAGAAGGAATTCGAGGAGTGAGGTTGAATTCTTGTAGGATCGGCTCAATATATATACACATACACATAGTGGGAACTTTTCACACTATTCTCGAAAGAGTAAAAGGACAGAGTGGGGCTAGATTTTAATTGACAATTAATTTTTAAAATGCAATAGTTCATGTGAAAAGAGTTGTTAGTCCAAGCTTAAGACTAACTCGGAGAGAGTGACAATAATATTTAAAAAATAAATTCTTATCTTTCTTTTTTTTTATTTTTTATATACTAATTTATATTAGAAAAAAAACTAAATAAACCTATCTTTTATAACTTGACAATTACATGACTTTTAGTGGCCACTAGTTATAATTGCTATTATGAAAAAAAAATAATGACCAATCATATAATTACCATTAAATAATATAATTTTACATAAATTAATGACAATTATTTAATTGCTTTTAATTATTGCTATTAAAGGAATTTTTTTGTTGTAGTGCTGGTGACCTTCACTCTTAAAACTTCTTATTAGGTCTTGGTTGAAACATTTATTATGCAGTGACCAGAGAAAAAGGACCATCAACACGTTATGCTAAGGCATATATAAGTACCATTACCTTTTTCTTTACACATGTGATGATAAGTGAATAAGACACAGAGACTTAAATATCTGCTCCTTACCATCCCCTACAAACCAGCTTAGATATTTTGGCATTACTTTCAATTTTTTCAAACTCAGCACAAGTTGTAAGACCTTAAAGTCTAGCTGGAGATGAATGCACATATCTTGCGGCATTTTGAATATTAAGAATTGATTCATTTTGATACTTTAAAACCATCTTTCGCAATCAGATTTAAAATATGCGCACAACATCTCAAATGCAGAAATTCATCATCAAATAGTGTAGTTTTTCAACACTTAGTATTCTTTTTCAAATGATTGATTGTACTATCATTAGAACTTGTGTTATCAACTGTTATAGTTAACAAATAGTCTATTCCCCAATCCAATAAACAATTTTCAACCATTTTACATATTGTCTTACCCTTGTAGTTAGGAATCACACAGAAACTTAAGATTCTCTTTTGTAGCTTCCAATTATTATTAATCCAATGTACAGTTACACACATATAATTTATATTTTGGATTGAAGTCCATGTATTAGTTGTGAGATAGATATGTTGAGACTTTAGAAGCTTTTAAGCTTTTTCTTCTCATTAAAATAAAGTTTTATACAATCCCTAGCAGCAGTGAAGCAGCTTAGAGGGGTAAATTTGGGTTGTAAACTAGTTACAAATTTTTTTAAACCCCTCACTTTCAACAATTCTAAAAGAAAGCTCATCAATAATAACCATCTCAACTAACAATGTTCTATACTCTTCATAAGAATAACTCATAGTTTTAAGAGAAAAAGAAAAAGAGCCATCGCTTTCCTGTTTTTCAAAAGTAAGAGTCTTTTGTTTTTCACGAATTTTTCTGTAAGGATATTTCTTGCATTGAAAATTTAAATGATTAATCATGTTACCTGTCCCATATAACTTTGGATGAACAGCATAATCCTAACAACAATAATTACAAGCTACCCTCGAGTTTCCATTCTCCTCAAACCTCTTAAAATGATCCCAAACCCATGAAATTTTCTTATGTCCAATGGTTGTATCTTGTGTGTCTTTGGATGGAGTCACTTTAATATGCATAGGCCTTTCCTTTTTCTACAAGTGTTAGGTTTCCATGATGTTAGAGTTGGAGGTGGCTTGAACTTTGTTTGATTAGCTATTGAATCATTTTTTTTATTTCCAACTACCTCCTCTTCATTCTCCATATATAAATCAAAAGAAAAAGAAAGTATATGAAGTTAGAGGTATTTGTGCTATCAATTTAGTTTAAGTTATCAACTCTACTGATTTTTCAAAAAAATCTTAATTTGTTTTCATCCTTTCTCCAATTTTGGGAATCCTTAAAGTTTAGTGTAACACATCTTCATTGAATAAGTCAAAGCATTTTGTTTTCAATTTGAGAGTAATACGCTCAAACAGTCATTGATGTTTAAGAGTTTGAATTGACTAAATCAAACTCACTGTAAGCAAATTTTTTCTTCAAATTGAGATATGCTTCCACACAGAAATCATGTTCGATCTAAATCTATCATGTTAGACTTAGGATAAACCAAAATTCCATTTTCCAATAGCACATTTCTAAAAACTGATTTAAAGGATTGACATATGTCTTCTTATTTCTTTTGGTCACTTCTTATCTTAGTTCATTGGGGAGGAAACAACTGCTGCTTTTGGAGTTACAAAGCTGACAGATAAACCTACTTGGATAGTTGATCCTCTTGATGGAACAACTAATTTTGTGCATGGGTAATTATCAGATTCTACTATAAAGTTTGCATTGAAGTTAGTTTCTCTCTTAAAGTTTGCATTGGTCTAACTTATATGTGGTCACTGCATGATGGGTGGTAGGTTTCCTTTCGTTTGTGTTTCTATTGGTTTGACAATTGGAAAGATCCCCATAGTTGGTGTTGTCTACAACCCGATTATGAATGAGGTAAGAATTTTCATGCTCCAATTTTCCCTTATTTAACAGTTCCTTTTTTGTGATAATTCATACAACCATGAAATTAAGCAAGTGGAGAAAGCATTGCATAATATGGATGGGGAATTGTTGAAGTGACACTATAAGTGGGTAATTTTTTAGTTATGAGTCAATAACCGTGAACCTACTTTGCCAAAAGTGTAATTTTTATTTATTTTATTTTATTTTTTATTTTTTTTAAGTCCCTACAGCCTCATGTACTAGGAGCATCTCTATAAGACAGATTCATGAATATTATCTAACTAATAGTTGGGTTATTGATTGCCCCTTGTTTACATATGCCTTGTTTGGTTGTCCCCTCTTGCACATTTAAGAGATAAGTATCAATTCAAAATAAAATTTTTCATATTGATAACTAATTAGTATTAGTTTCTGAGTGAATTTGACTGTTCACGGGCATCCTTGGACAAGGTGCTTTCCTGAATGCGAAAGCCATAAAAGGCGTTCAGTTTCGGCCATTGGTTCAGATGAGGACTGCTAGATATATACGGTATGCCGATGCAAAATTGCAATAGCTACAAATCAGATCAATGAACCATAAAGGAAAAGAAAAAAGATACATACTGATGCCTTTCAAATAGATAATATTCACAAATCAAACAAAAAATGCTATATTTAATGATCAATGACAGAGATGTACTCACAACTTGTAGAGAAGATAAGAGAGGGAAAGAGAGGTTAGTGAGAGAGACAATTGATCAGCAATTGCCCGCAATTGAATGGAAAAATGTAGAAATCAGAACAAGGGTAGCCGCTAACGCTGGAGAAGAGAGAAGCAAGAGATGGGAGTAAATTTAAGGTTTCGTCAGATGAGAGAGAGAGAGTAGTGAACCGTTAAAAAGTTGAATAAATAAAATATATTAAAAAAATTTACATACCAACAGTTGGGGTCGAATTAAGTTAATGTGAGTTTTTAGAAATTTTACCTGTCACTTAGCTGTATATGAGCGGATTATAAAAGTTTTAAATTGTTAATATAAAATATTAAAAAGAAATTGGTGGGTTGCGGCAGCTTGTGAGTGGGTTGATAGGCAAGTTAGGTTAAGCAGTTTTATGCTCACTCTTATAAGGCATCCAAAGCCACTCCCACGAGGCGAACCATTACACTACTACAATCATTTATGGCCATTCCTTTAGCTATGCTATCTCTTTCCCTGTTATTAGGTTTCCTTTGCGCAAAGAGAGAGAAAAAGGAGAGAAACAAACTACTACAATCATTTATGGCCATTCCTTTAGCTTGGCTATCTCTTTCCCTGTTATTAGCTTTCCTTTGCGCAAAGAGAGAGGGAAAGGAGAGAAACAAAGACGCGACAAGCTACAATAAATAAAAAGAGAGGTTACATTTCAGTTTGGCTTACTTATGCCTTAGCACGGATTTGGATTGCCCAAAATTGTTTTCTCTCGTTTCATTTGGCACCAAAACCAGGGCATTTATTTTTAATTTTCTTTTCTTTTCCCTTTGTGGTATTAAAGTATTAAAAGTAATAGTTTTGGGCCTTTTCAGGTTTCCCAACTTCAAAAAGACAGAAAAAGGACAAATACTAAAACCTTCTTTAATATATTTATTTGTTAATTAGGAAGCCACATGATATCCTTGCAATCTCATGGTACATGCAGTAGAAACAGCTGCTCTTTATATATATATATATATATATATGCAAAAATTCACACTGATATATTCATTACTTTCACAATAGATGCAGTCTTAATAAATTCATAAATATAATTTTCAACTTCCAAACCAAAGTTAAAACAGAGTCCAAACACTAGAAACCATTCACAACACCTCGCTCTTCGCGGGCAACAGTTTGGAGGCTACTAAGAATATGATCACATGTACAACAGGCTGCTTCAAGAATAACTGATAATAAAAGGGTAACCTTGTGACTGTTGACCCCAAAGTGAGATAAGATGAACGGCCTTCTATTGGACTTATTTTGTTTGCTAATTCCTCAAGATTGCCACAAGTTGAAAGAAACTCAAGGAGTTGCAAGGCCACCTACAGACTTAGAGAAAGCAGGCGTTGGGTTCCAATCCTTCTCTTCCTCAGGCGCTCCGCGATTATGAAGGCCAGCTCTAGAGATTGAGAAGCATTGAGCCTTGGATCGCAATGTGTGTGATAGCGTGAACCAAGATCGTCATAAGTCACAGTTCGAGACCCACCAATGCACTCAGTCACATTCTGCCCTGTCATCTCAAGATGGATTCCTCCAGGGTGGCTCCCTTCCTGCTCATGCACATCAAAGAATGCTCGCACCTCCGCCTTCCAGTATATACATAATATATTTTTACACATTAACAAAATGAGAATGAGAGAGACAAATTCTTACAATATAATAAATGCTTAATATAGAGAGAGCGGTAGCCTAACTGTTTTGCATAAACACACATTAAATCACTACTTGTTCTTAACTAATTTATTTTCATGATGATTCTGTGTTAATTATAACTGTTCATCCTATTCAGTGGAGATAAAAATTGAAGAGTTTTATCTTAATATTTTCACATGGTTTGATGAATCACAAAAATTGCAGTAATTCAGGCTAACTCTTGGATAAAAATCAAGAAAGTTGACATACGAAGACTGGTGACAGAAAATCATACCAAGATTGAATCAAAAGCCCGAGTTTTGAGTCCACAGGGTGCCTTTATGGTGTTGCCATGCATTGGGTCGCAAACCCAAGTCACAATTTGCCCTGCCCTACGAACAGCCCTGATCAGATTGGACAGCTTGACTCTCAAGTTCTCAGCACCCATTCTTACAATCACTGTTATTCTTCCTGGCTTGTTAGTAGGATTGAGGATTTCAATAAGTTTAACTAGCTCATTTGGATCCATTTTATTGCTCACCTGCGTAACAATGTAAATGTTAGCCATCAAACATCAGCCTTTTGAAGCAATGATTATATGATCGAAATCAGCATGGCAAGGACAAATGCAGCATGCATTTGGCCAAAAAATTAAGAGGACGCAAATAAAGCAAATTCAATTATGATTAATTGGCCCAAACCTAGGATAAACATGTCTTACAATGCACAAGCACCATGTGATGGACAATTTTTTAATTAATGAGAAACAAAGGATAAAATTCCTAGTAAATAAATGACCAGACATTACTCACGAATGTAAAATTCCATGCCACAGAGGAAAAAGGGATAACAAGCACAGAGATGGACTTACGTTGAAATGACTAAGCAAAAGATGCAAAGCTAACAAAAGCAGACAGCTATCATGTGGAACAGCCTACGAAATTTTTGTACATTGGCTAACTGATGACCTCGCTGAACAAATTTGTTTGCTTTCGCACCAAAACACATTCATTCATTTGGTTCCCGAAATGGCACATCTAGGGCATTTTCTTGAAACAATACTAGCCTATTTGACTACATTGATCATTTCTCACTTGACCAAGAATGCAAGCATTGGATATACCTTAATGCCAATGGGATTCGCAACTCCTCTTAGAAACTCAACATGTGCACCATCCAATTGCCTGGTACGTTCCCCAACCCAAATGAAGTGAGCAGAACAATCATAGTAAAGACCTGATGTTGAATCCTGCCTGGTAAGTGCTTGCTCGTAAGGCAACAGCAAGCACTCGTGAGATGTCCAGAACTCAGTTGAAGTCATGACAGGATGTTCCACCGTGAGCCCAGCAGCAGCCATAAATCCTAAGGCTTCATCAACCCTGTGAGCTAGCTCCTGATACCTGCAACAAATAATAAATAAAATGAAAAAAGATCAAAAAGAAGGTGATAACTAATTTACCACGTCTAAAATAATTGAATCCCATTTTCGTTGTTATCCTTTTAGCGGTCGAGGACACACGGGGAAAAAAAAAAGAAAAAAAGAAAAAAAGAAAAAGAAACAGACGAATGATTTCTCCAAGTAAATTTTATACCTATCGCCTTGCTCACTGTGCTCTGCAAAATCAAGATTCCATTGGGTAACCCTCTGCATTGCAGCGTATCCTCCTGTTGCAAAGGCCCTAAGAAGGTTAAGAGTGGCTGCAGACTGGCAATAAGCCCTTATCATCCTCTGTGGATCTGGAACTCTGTCTTTCTCAGTGAAAGCATCACCATTTATGTTGTCCCCTTTGTAGCTTGGCAACTTCACTCCATCTCTCTCTTCTAATGTCTCAGTTCTTGGTTTTGCAAACTGACCCGCCATTCTTCCCACCTATTAGTACATGCGACAATGCAGGGTCTGTCAGGTCCAAGTAATTACCAACTAAATATGGCAAAATTTCATATATTTTCCCTCCAATCAAATCCCACAGACCATGGAAGATAAATTTTCCTTCTAATTTTTTTTTTCTTGAATGCCGTTAAACCGATTAAAGTAATCATTAACATTGTTTCAAACTATTCAGATTTCGCAAGAAACTTTGAAAAGCAACCCGGCGACGGGAGAACAGAGATTGAAAAGATTACCTTAATTACCGGCATTTGGCCACCAAACATAAGGACAACACCCATTTGGAGAAGAATTCTGAAAGTGTCACGAATATTATTGGCACTGAATTCCTTGAAACTCTCGGCACAATCTCCTCCCTGGAGGAGAAAAGCATTGCCCATGGCGGCCTCTGCGAGGCGCTCCTCGAGAGTTCTCGCCTCTCCGGCAAACACAATAGGTGGGAAAGCCTCAATGGTCCTGAGAACTGACTCCAGATCTGCCTCTTTGGGATACTCAGGGAGCTGCAGAGCCTTCTTCAATTTCCAGCTGTCGGGGCTCCATCTGCCCGGTTCCACCTTGGATGGCGAAGGAGATGACGTTTTTGGCTTTTCGGCGACAGGGGTCTTGGCGGGCTCTGCTGCGTGTACAGCAGAGACGGGGTGGCGGTGTGGCTTGTTCGGGAGGAGAGGGAATGCGGGTTGATGGGATTGGGAGGGGGGGAACAAGGATTGGGCTTGGAAAAGGGATCTGGAGCAGAGGGAAGAGGTATTTGACAAAGCCATTTTAATTGTTGTCGACTGCCGAGTACCCCGCCTCTCGCTTTTCCAATTCAATGAAGAGGGCAGAGAGAGGGAAAGAGCTCGGAAGTGTGGCCTCTGGAGACTGCGAAGGTGGAATGTGTTCAACGGGGGCTTTTATAGGGGTAGATTTGGAGAGAGAGAGAGAGAGTGGGGAATGTGCTCTGCCCACGTAGCGATGAACAAATGGGATGATTCGGTATAGATCAACAGTCAACTAACGTGGAAGCAGGCTGGTGGTTGGGCTTGACAAGATGAAGTACGAGGACGGCGTTTGATTTACAAGATCTATTTGGTTAACTAACTTTTTTAATTTCATGCAATTCACATTTTTACCTAAACAAACTTTTCACTTTTTAACTAGATTTAAAAAATTAAAATCTACAATTTTTTTTTTGTTTTTTTTTTTTTTATGTTTAGCATGGAAGTAGCACCTAGCAAACTGAGCCAGACTGGAAATTGTTCTAAGAAGAAAAATAAAATATACTATTTCCAACTAACTAGCAGAAAAGCCTATAAATGCACGGATAAAAGAAATATATATTTAATTTAACTTAATTAAATTTGTTTTTTGAGTTTAATTATACAATTTAATTAATAATACTCAGTTGTAATTTCAATTTCCATATAATAATTAAAGTAATTCACGTTAATATATTTTCAAACTAATATTAGTATACTATCAAAAGACATTGCCAGATAACACAAAGCTCATTGGGATTTTTAAAAAAATACTTTTTATTAAAAAAAGTGTTTCTGAAACATTTAATATTGTTTGTCAAGATTTTGAAATAACATAGAATTCAAAAATACATTTTTAATTTCAGATTATTTTCAGAAGCTGATAAAATCAACTTTTGAAAATAATCCAATGTGGTAAAAGAAAAAGAAAAACACGTAAAGTCTTCAGAAACATTTTCTGAATAAAAATACCCTTGTGTAGTTGGGAGATGAAGTCAATGCAAAAACTAGGGGAGGACAATAAAAGAACAAAATTTAACTCCTACCGAGACAGCAGGAATATGGAGTGGGTTGTTAATATCTAAATAAAAATTGAAACATATTTCTGTCAAATATTGCTATTAAAGTAAATTCAAATTATCCATATTTTGTTAAATGTTTTTCTTGTACATTTTTCTCTAAATTAGGTGAATTGGATTGCCATAAAATATAACAAATAAATAATTACGTGCTTACCACAACTGGGGGTGAGCACAAACTCATTCAACCAACTTGTCCGCATAACCCATCTACACCTATTGGTTTATACAAAATTTACATAGTAACAATTTAAAATTATGCAATTCGCCCACAATTTAATTGGATAACAGATAACATTTTTAAAAATTTGCCACCATCCAACTTACTCATCATATATATACACACTTATACACAGTAATATTTTTGCATGATTATATTGTGGCTTCTTCTCAACTGGATATTAACACTATTTATTATTTTATATTCCACCAATTAGTTAAAAGTCTATTTGTGTTGAATTTAATAGCCTTTTTTTTATTTTAATTGGTGGCTCTTCCGGTACTTTTTTCTTATCTGGTTTAGGCCGTATTCTGAGTTTTTAATTTATTGGATAGGTGTGAGCAACTGTGTATATATATGCTGCATAAACAATATTTTTTTTTTATTGCATTGAATACTTAAATCAAATAAAAGAAAAATGTTAATAGTGTGTTGAATCTAATAAATTAATTTTTTTAAATTAGATTTTCATTGTCTTTCATTTTTAGTTGACCAATCACCAATCCGCCAGCATTTGATCAAAGCAAACCGCAAAATTTGGAAGAATAAGATGATAGGTGCAATTTAATATTTTTACTACTCGTTCATATTAGGACAGACTAATTTTTGATATGAAACTACTCAAATTCACCCCGCGTGCACTCCTAATCACAATTTAAGAAAATGATTTAAGGAAATTTAGATAACAAGTATGATAAAATAGAGCAGAGGTTTAGTTTCTTATTCTTTCCTTTCCTCCATTTCAACTCTTAAATTTTTAATATATCAAACAATTAGTACAGTCTTAATCTTTTTCTTTTTCTTTTAGGCAGTAGCAAGTTGCGTTGGGATAGCATGTCAATAGTCAAACTTTGTTTACATTGAAACTAGAGAAAATTTTAAAAATAAATATGTTAGTTTCAAGATTTCATACTTATTTTGATAATAACAAAACAAATTAAAATTATTATATATATTTATATAATGAATAATATGGACAATTTATAATATTAAGTTTATTTTTTAACTACATACATAACTTGTACTAGATTGTGAAGTTATTAAATTAGATATGTGTATAATAAATTAATTATATCTTATTATAGAAAAGTCAAAAAATTATAAAGTCAATTTTATATAAAACTACACTCAAATATCTTTATTTTGATATATAATTCATCACATATATTATTTTGTATTAAAGCAGTTTATTATATTAATTTCATATATTATTTTATGAAAAAGTCATTTTTGAAATCTGCACGATATTTGTTTTAATTAGTAAAATATAACTTATAATATAAATAAAATTATGAATTAATTTTATTTGTAAAGTAGACGTGCTGACCTTTAAATGCATATATTATATGTACGTTTTACGCTTATAGATTGTCAGATATAATTTTTCAAAGTAGGCCTTCCTGCTGAATTGTACTGTCAGTAGACAAAATGAGTATAGTACAGTATTTTTATCATATCTCAAAATATAAAAGTCAAATTTGTACGAATCCAATTTTGAATGAAAGTAGACATTATAAGCTTTTCAACAATATATAATTTTTGAATACAAATTCGAATTTTTAAACAATTTTGAACTTGGTCAACAATTTTGACAAAAGCAATTTTACAGTCTAACATATTGATGAATTTTTGATCATTTCTCTCAAATGGCGCACTATAATTCAATTATTCTTTTTGTATTTGAAAACAGACTCACTCAGGAGTATCCAATAATTGTTTAAGAATTTTTAAACGTTCGGAATCATTTTATTTGAATTTTTAAAATAAGCCAATGTGCAATTACTGTTGAGAAATGATTTTGTCTTCCACAAAGGCCAACGTCTCCTTGGTGTTTTTGCCTATAAAAGGAGCATAGATTGAAGGGAGAAAGACACAACAACAAGCTCTCAAAAGTCTTATCAATCTCTCTCTAATTCTTTGTGCTATATTATTTATTATTAGATCAAAGAGTGCATAGAGGAAATTGTTTTATTCTTGAAAGTACCTCTTTGAAGTGAGATCATTTTTGTACATGAGTGGTAGCTAATCCTACTTAAGAGAAATTGCTACATTTTTGCTCGATCTTCATTACAATTTGTATTGGTGTTTGAAGCTCACCGAATCAAAGGCTTTGTAATCGGGATTTCTTGTCTCCGCCAAGTGTAAGGGATTTTGTTTGTATTCGGGATTTCTTGCCTCCGTCAAGTGCAAGAAATTTAGTGGAACCTCGGCTAGTTGAAGCTCAAGAGAGTAGACGTAGACTTGGATAACAAGTCGAACTATTATAAAAGAGTTTACATCTCTTATCCTTATTCTCTTTACTTTACTTAAAATTGTTTTATGTTTATTATTTGGTGAATTGTATTAGTTTGTTTGATTCAATATTATTATTGTTTTTAAATTTTTTCACACACTTATCTTCCGCGATAAAAACCCAATTCACCCCCCTCTTGAGTTGCCTTTTGGGACAACAAAATATATATAAAGTCTTGTGTAGAATGTGAAAAAACAAATTCAAAAAGAGAAAAATATAAAACAAATAGGCTTTAATTGGAAATGAAACATTTCATTGGTTGCAAGTGGTTTTTCCCTTCTATAACATTTTCTTTGTTTGTTAGAACCATTCACTTCCTAAACAATTCGGCAAGAGGACGGGGAATTGGCAAATTTTTATTAACATTAATAATTTTTTAATCGAAATAGGTCTTCTAAGAACTATCTACTAAAATAGGTTAAACAATATAATTGTTAAGAAATTGAATCCTGAAAGACTGGTATTTAAAGAGAAACCAGGTCCTTAGGGACCAATTTCTAACAAGAAATCGAAATATCATAAATTAATTTCTACTCAAAATCAGCTCTTGAGGGGTCGATTTCTTAGAGGCCCAAATAGTAACCTTGTTGGCCAAGTAGAAGAAAAGGAAGGGGAGAAGGTTGGTGGCTGGCAGGGGCGAAGCCTGGGAGGAAATACATCAAGTTGGCCTGCATGGAAGGGTGGGATCAGCCAGTAATGATGAAGGCTCAACAACATCGAGCAGTCAATCTTCCATCATAACAGGTACTCTATTGCTCGATGCCATTGAGCCTCCATCTTGATCGGCCAATCCCCACCCTTCGTTCTCTTTTGCTTGGCTGATAAAGCCACTGTTTGACTCTCTCAAAAATTGACTCTTGAGAAATCGATTTCACCAGAGAAATCAGCTCTTCAGGAATCGGTTTCTGAGCAAAAATCAGTTTACGAGGGTTTGATTTTTCATCTAATCACTTGATTTTTTTTCAAAAATCAGCCTTTAAGAACTCGATTTCTCAGCTATTGCAGTGTTTAATAATTCTTCAAAAACTTGGTTTGAATTAAAAAAAAAATATTAATATTAATATAAATTTGCCAGAAAATATGGGTCTCCATTTCTGTTATGGTTCCCTTCACATTCTTGCCTCCGTCCTGAAATTTCATCACCACCATTAGAATCGAGGACTGAAATTCTCTTTATCCCGATTTTGCTCTCTTTCATAACGGCCATCAAGTTCTCCTTTCCAATTGTTATCCTGAATGGGATGTCGAATCGTCCTAATTTCCATTTTTAATAAATAATTAACTCTCGCAGAAATTTACTCACCGAATTAAAAAAAGAAAAAAAATAAGACAAAAGTACTTTTATTGTAATATAACAGAATTTAAAAAAAAATATATATATATATATATATATCACTTTAAACCACTCTAATAAAATCTCTCAAATAGGACT